AGTGCAACAGGGTGAACAGCTCGGGGGTGGGGGCGGGCAGGGTTGGGCGTCACACACACTGTAAGTGACTGACCTCCTTGGGGACTGTCCCCAGAATACAGACTCCACCAGGCGGTGATTCCCCTCTCATTTCGCAGCCCCATGCCTCCGCTCCTGCCTGCGGTGATACCTCCTTCTGCAGCGATGCTGGGGGTGCAGCTCCCCCTCGCTTTGTCATCGCTCCGTTGCCTTGCCAACGCGGTGGCCCTGTCCCTGCTCAGACACTGTCACCGCTGGGTCTGGCACAGGCAGCACCACTCGGCACCCACAGGTAGGGCTGGGGGACACGGGGGAGCTGCGTGGGTGTCTGCCTCCAACCACCTTCAATCCATCACTCCTGAGCTATGAACTGGAGAGAATCCCCACCCCCTGCAGAAGCCTATAGCCCCCATCGAGGGCAGAGACAGGCCCTGAGAGCCCCCTGGCATTTTGGAGAGCCCCAGTCAGAGGCCACAGTGAGGGGCTGTGAAACGTGCTTTTTAGGGCATCCTCCCCGCCCAGGGCACGCGGGCTAGGCAGATTAACCAGAGAAAACACCCACCATAAGTAAGAAGCACTGGATTTTCCCTGGGAGGGTGAAACTGGGGATGTGCTTGGGGGTCCACGGGGGACAGAGGCGGAGAGGGGATCAGGCAGGACCCTTCAGGTCCTGGTGAAGGGGTCCAGTCACTTCCAGTTTTCCCAGCATTCAGTGGTGGCTAATGGGCAACTCAGAAGATCCTGCTCCCAACAGGCACACGCTGTGTCCTGCTGCCAGGTTGTGGGTGTTCATTCCCTGTCCCTGCATCCTCAGTGCTGTTGGGGACTGTGTTTGCCTTGTGTGAGTGCCGTGAGGGCCAGATGCCGGGGCAACTGGTGGGAGGGAAGGACAGGACTACATGAGTCCCCATCTGCAACCTCCAGATGTGCCAGCGGCCCCTGGGTGCGATGAGAATTTGGGGGTGGCTGGTGTGAGGCCGGTGCCTCTCACTGTCCCTCCCCAGCCTGGTCCCCCTGTCCGTCCCACAGAGCACCCCATGGCCCCAGGCAGTGCGGCTGGACACAGGCGGCCTTTGCAGTGAAACTTAATGGGATAAACCAATTCCCTTAACCCACTTATCTGGCTGATCCAATAAAGGTGGCTGGGAACAAAGTGTGCATGTAGTCTTAATGCATTCCCTCTCTCCACGCTCCCCCAGTCCTGACAGCATCGTGGGTCCGTCTGCCACAGCTAGCAGGGGGCTCCTCCTCCTCAGAGGCAGTGCAAAGGGGCCAGGGCAGAGGGGGAACGTTGGACCTGGGGACTAGGACCTGTTGTCTCTAGGTGACAGGGAAGAGGAGAGGTGGCTCTGACAGTGGTGGAGGTGGCTCTGACCCATTGAGGCACAGCCCAGCACAAAGCATAATGCAGGTGAGTTGTAGGGGCCATGGGAAGGGTCTCTGGTGTAGCTGTGGTTGGGTGGCATCATGTGTTTGTCCCCCCCAGCACAGATATTCACTCAGCCCCACGTCCCCAAGGACCATTGATTTTATCATGGAGGGGATCCCTTGCTTGCCCCTGCGCTGCCTTCCTGTCAGGGTTTGGGGGTTGTTGTGGTGGTCTGGGAGTGGGTGGACTGGGGAGGGGCTGAAGGTGGGCCATGGGATGAGCATGGAATGGGAGGGATGGGGATGGAGGGACAGTGTTGGAGGATGGAGATGAAAAGGATGGAAGCAGGGACAAGCACCGGAGGACAAGGATGGAGGGGTATGGACAGAGGGACGGTTGTTGCAGGAGGGTTGGGGCAGGCAGGACATAGGCAGGGGCAGAGGGGTTGGGAAAAAGGACGGAAGCAGGCAGGCAGGGACAGGAGGATTGGACGGGAGTCCAGGAACAGGCAGGAGGTGCAGGAGCACGGGGATGGGTGTGCCGCTGCGGCTCGGAGCCACCTCCAGGTGCGGGTGACGCAGCGGGAGCAGGAAGCGCCCGGCTCCGTGGCAGGTGAGGGTGGAGCAGAGGTGACGGACGCTGCTCGGAGCAGGACCCTAACCCAGGACCGGCCAGCCGGGACCTGCTGTCGCTTGGGGCCACTGTGGTTTCGCTGCCCCCACCCCTCTGTCCCTGCAGGCGTCCATGGATGAGGCCCCGCCGCCCACCAGCCCCACCGGGCTCTCGGTGTACGTGGCCGTGTCGCAGCTGCTGGGCCTGACGCTCCTGGCCACCACAGGTGCCTGGCTGGGCCGCTACCGGGGCGGCGTGGCCTGGCACAGCCCCCTCCAGTTCAACGCCCACCCCCTCTGCATGGTGCTGGGTATGGTGTTCCTCCAAGGTGACGGTGAGCAGGACGGTGGGACACGTGCCCTGTCCCCGCTGCAGCCTCCAAAGCCTGGAGCTGTGGTCGGGCAGGGAAGGAAGGGGACAAAGTGGTG